AAAACGTACCTTCCCATAGAAAAGTAGATTTACAACACGACTGAGTACATTTGGGAAATATCCTTACAGTAGTAACGCTATGTAAAGTAATACACTAGACCCGACTGATAGGACTTTTCGCGGCCATAACAAGTCCCACCCACTTAAAATGCATAAAACACGTATATCGTTGGAGAGCGTTTGAGAAAGTTTGGCCAGAGCTAATTCAACGATCAAAGTGGCCACCCAAATCTTTGGAGGGCTTCAAGATACGACGTATAATAAATTTGACCTTCTCGAAACCCGGTTTCAAATAAACTTACTAAAGAAACAGTGCATGCGTTTGTCATTGAGAACGAAAGAATACGCGAAAAATACGTTCAAAAAATACTGCTACAAACAAAAAAGAAACGGCCTAGCTGTCAAGAAATTTTCACTCATTCTGTCAATTTCGGCCGCTTTTACTGCCGTATTGAAAACAACTACCACAGTACAACGCAATCAAAGTTCGTATAACACTTGTACATGTGCCTGCTGTTTTAAGTAGACCCGCAAGGAATTCTGGTAAAAAAGTGGTGCTACATACTCTCATTAAATGCAATGAGTTCTGGTAATAAGTGATGAATTCGAGAATTCAAACCGCCATTCTATATTCTTCTTAAAGCCTGATTATGTTGCTGCTCGCTCGTTACGCTCGCTGGGCAGCAGTGAAGAAGTTGAGTGCTCCATTCCCATTCGCCCAGACACTTAATGTTGGCCCTCTCAGTACTTATAATTTTTTCTTGTTCTCGTCTTACCCAGGAATAAATGTCAGACCAGAAGTAATAGAATTAGGCCTGCTGATTCTGAAGCACAGCAGGTTGAAGTTACAACGAGAACTGCTGATTTGGAAGGAGATCTTAGTGACGGTGAAATCATTTCGAGCGTTAACTCTTCGCTCTGACGAAGGTGGCCAAAATACCGAAGACATGGCTTTGCCCGGATCATCGTTATGAAAACGTCATTTGCTTAAAAATTATAATGGTAACCATGGAAAATTACAAAGTTTTATCGATGTAACTTTCCACAGTTATCATATTTTTCATATATTTAAAAAATTTTTTTCTTTTTTTTCAACATTCCGAAATGTAAACTCCTTTCGAAATCACATGAAAAAGTAAGTTTCAGACATTTTTTGCCGGTGATCGTTACAGAACAGAGTGCTGTAGAAGATTTCTGCTCTCAGTGTTACATAATTAAATTCATGTTGTTATGAAAATTTCCTAATCATGTTTTCACGGCTATTTTACTTCAGTCTATAGTTTATTCTTGGTCCAATTTTTTTTTGTTTCTTGCCTTGGTTTTTAGAAATCATGATTGTAGCCTGAACACGGCTTAGGCCAAAACTCTACAAAAAAAATCAAAACCCGATAACAATCGCGCCTGTGCAGTGCTTTATCATCAATTTTAACTATAAAAGTGCTTTGATTCTTTTATTTTATTACCAGTTTGTTCAATTTTTTAATCACCTTTAATTCTCGTCTTTTTACTTGCTGGACGCCCAGTGACAAAAAAAAAGGGAAATAAAAGTGACAGTAAAAGTGGCACTGAAAGTGACGGTGAAAGTGGCACTAAAAGTAGCACTAAAAGTGCGCAGTAAAAGTAGAACTGAACTGAAAGTGGCTCTGAAAGTGGCAGTAAAAGTGGCGCAAATTAAAGTGGCAGCAAAAGTAGTGGTAAAAGTGCCTCTGAAAGTGGTAGTAAAAGTGGCACTGAAAGTGGCACTAAAAGTGGCACTAATATTGCACAGTGAAAGTGGCAATGAATGTGGCTTTAAAAGTGGCAGTAAAAGGGGCAATGAGATTTTAGTGGCAGTAAAAGTAGCGTTATAAGTAGCACTTGAAGTGGGACTGAAAGTGGCATTAATAGTGACGGTAAAGGTGGCACTGAAAGTGGCACTAAAAGTGCGCAGTAAAAGTGGCACCGAAAGTGGCTCTAAAAGTGGCAGCAAAAGTGGCACCAAGATTAAAGTGGCGGAAAAAGTAGCACTAAAGGAAGCACTTAAAGTGGCACTAAAAGTGGCATTAAAAGTGACAGTAAAAGTGGAACTAAAACTGACAGTAAATGTGGTTTTAAAATATAAATGGATGTAGCTTTATGGGGCTCTGTACCTCTTCTAAAGCAAACAAATCACCATGGTCAAGTGAGGGGAAAAATATTAAATCATTGCGGTACACCTCAGAAAACACCAGAAAATTTACACAGCAGAAACGAAAGCAAAACAAAAAACAAAAAACTGAAGAAATTCCTGCAGCCACTCAAGTGGATTTTTATTCATAACGACTACAGCAATTTCAACTGAGGCAAACAGAAAGCTACAGTAAATGAGATCAAGTTTGATGTGTGACTTCCAAACGGGACTTGAAATTTTTTTTTCTTATTTTACTACAAATTACTCTCAAGTTCTTTAATTCCTTCATCCGTTCTTATATTTCCAGTTGCTTTCCACCTTCTTGCTCAGCCACGTCTCTTTTATTTTCAAGTTGCGGCCCAGTTCCATGCCTGGTCACAGTGTTCAACGAAACAAACATACGCCTTTCAAACTTCTCAGCTTGTGAGTCGCTTTTCCTTAGCAACATTGCTATGAACGCAACTCTAAACTGCCTGAGTCTTATACAGTAAATAATTGGGTTGATTAAAGAATTGAGTATTGCCACCAAGGCTACAGTGTTCAACATAATAACACCTAAATTTACATTAGTTATGGTATAAGTAAAGAGAAGACTTCGAATAGCAAGTATTGGTAAATAACTCAAGAAAAGGAAACCAATTACACAAATTGTTACCTTGAAAGCTTTTTTTTCTTTCAAGAAATTCTTTCTGGCCTCTAGTGAGGCTTGATGGTCGGCGATGATTTTTTCATGTCGGTGGGACTCCCTGTAGACTAAAACTTGGCTGAAAATAATCAGAGCCACAAATACGGCCAAAAAACTGTTAAGGGTAGGGATATACTCCTCAATGCCCGGCATTACCAATGGAGCAAACACATTTGTTGCTAATGGTAGAACCCAGGCTACGGCGGACGAACTTAATAGTACGCGATCGCGAGTTTTACCTTGCATGGCCGTGTACTTAAAAGGATGTTTTATGGCGAAATACCTTTCAAAACTTACCAGGAACAAGTGCAGGACAGATGAAGAAATAAAAAGTCTGCTCATTGTTTTTGTCCACTGAAACAGTCTGCAATATTCGTCGGATGTACCTCCAAGAAGGTTCAAAAGTCTGCTGGTAATGTACATGGGCTGTGCGATCAGCCCAGTAGAGGCGTCAGTGACCGCCAAACAACCGAGTGCAATATTGGAGGAAGTCTTCAGTTTTTGTTTGGTTTTGACTGCAGCGATCACCAGTACATTCAACAAAATGGTGAAAGGACAAGTTATTATGGCTAAGGCAACCAATACGGTGACGGCGGCGAATGCTACTGGGTTTGATGGATCATGGACTTCTCTGAGAAGAGTCGATACATCACATTTAGTTAATTCTGCTGATGTGTTCAATATTGGGATGTTAGAATTCATGGCTCTTCGACTTGCATTTGAACGTTTACCCTCTGTTCAAAACTGTATGGCAATTGTGGTAAGCGTCTTATTTGACTTCAATACTCATATTACACCTGTGTACTGTAGTGAAATATCATTTTCCTGCTTTATTATTCTGGCTCATTCAGGCTGTTTGATTGTCTTTCGGTGTCACATGTTTGAGGACCTTCTTAAAAGGTCTTTGTCGGTGTTTTCCGCGATCAAAGGTGATGATGCGATGAGAATCCGTCTTGACAGCTTCCGGGTGCAGCTTTTATATATTGCCGTCATCAATTCTTTGCTTTTGAAAAAAAGAGTCATAGATGCTGTTCTGGGCGTCTACCCAGTAAAAAGGCGAGCAGTAAAAGAAGTGATGAAAAAACTGAACAAACTACCAATACAGAAAAATCAACTCAAAGCTGTCAGTTTAATGTTAAAATTGATGAAAAAAGCACTGCACATCCCCGATTATTCTTGAATTTTGATTTTTGGTAGGGTTTTTCCCATAAGCTTTTTCCAGGCTACAATCATGATTATTTCAAAAACAAAAGCAAGAAATAAATAAAGGAGCACGAATATTCTGTAGAAATAAAGAAGTCGTACAAACACGATTTAGGTGTTTTCATAACAACTTGAGGTGAGGTGTGTAGCAGTGTGAGAATAAACCTATTCATTATCCAACTGTGCTTCGTAGAGTACAATTAACGCACGAGACGGGTACAAATATTTGGTAAATAAACCCCTTCGGGCGGCTGGTATGTCGGCTGATAATGTCCACGGCTGAGAGATTGTCCGAAAAATGAATATTTGGCCGAGAAGCGAAGCTTCGAGGGCAAATATGAAATTTTGTTGACTATGTTTCTTTTTCACGGAAAAAATCGGAGGACGAATATCGACGCAGACGGGGGTTATTGCTTGTTAACTGTCCTGTGATTTTGCACCACGTGACGTAAAGTAACCAATAAAATCGCGCCAAAATTAATGGGTGGGTTATAACACGCGATATTTGTACTCCAGAAATATTCGCGAAATTCGCCTGCACTGAAATAACAATTTGGTGTGTTGGATAATAAATCTCTCATTAGACGTTTTGTTGTGTAGTATCGTTGAGTATATTTAACTCGTTGTTTGTCTTTTGACTCTCCTTACGGGCTCGTCAAAATACGGCACAACTCGTAAAAATACTCATCGTCTGAGTCTTTTAAAAGATTTTAAGCCTTAGTTGTAATGTACTTGTACATATTTCTAAAGTCGGCCTTGCACAACTAGAGTGCTTTTCGACAAAGTGTCGTAAAACCGAAAAAACGCAGCAAGCAATCATAACTAGGAAAACATCGCGAGGAGCCAATGAGAATTCGAAGTAAAAAAGCGCGGGAAAAGAAGCGCGGGAAAACGAGAGTGAACAAATCGCCATTGGTTTTAGTTTTGAATCTGATCATTGGCCGAGAAAGTAGCGCGAGTTTACTGGACCAATCACATAACGAGCTAAGGCAAGGATAAAGTAATCCCGTACTACCTTCGACGCTCAATTGAAAGTTGCCCCATTGAGAAAGAAAATTTACATTTACATATTCTCGACAATACTTTCAAAGAGAGGGCAATCATCGCTCCAAGTTTGCAGTTTTTTTACCTTTTGATTCTTTCTTTTATAGAAAATGTCTGATCGTATAGATGGCAGAGCGGGAACGTATCGTTAAAAAAATTCACAAAACTCATTCATCATTATATAACAAGTTACTAGTACTGTTTCCGGAATTTTGTGAAACGTAAGTTTTCCCTCAGAGTAAGTTTCCCTTTTATCAAAAACGGACATGATAAATGAACACAGATTTGACACAAGTTAAAAACTGAACTGCTAACGTCAGGCGTGACCAATTTTAACAGTGCACAAAAGGTAAAACTAGTCCATCCTATAGTTTGTCATCGGTAGATAAGCCAAGTTAATTACCGAAGTTATACGTCCCTATACAAGAAAAGATGTTCAAAGATAATTCAATCCATGAGGCACCTCGCCAAGAGCTTGCTCACTCTCGTGCATAGAATTAAAAAAAATGCAAAGTGCACTTATGAAGGATTCAGCTTGAAATTCTTAAACAGGTTATTGCTAAGAAGTTAAAACAAAAAACAAGAACAAAACACACACACACACACATAGGAAAAGCAAACAGAAACACACACACACGCACACAAAGGAAAAGCAAACAGAAACACACACACACACACACACACACACACACACACACACAAAACAAATAAAACAAAAACAAACAACTAAAACATTCAACTTTTCGACCATGGGACATTCTTTTTCACCGGGAAGGAACTTTAACGCAACATTTGTAGAGAATACGGAAGGTACCTTACCATTCCCAGTATCATATATTTTAATTTGTACACAAGCATTTTTTTTTTTTCAGAAATCTCTGTATCTTTAAAAGAGAATTTCTAAACTTGAAGAGACCCTTAATGTTTAACACGGTAGCTATTTTCGCCGTGTTTTACTTAAAAGTTTAATAACATTAAATGTCTTGCACTCTGTTACAATACGATGACGGTCCTTGAATCTCACTATGAGCTTCATAATTGGAAACCTCAGATGTTTGCATCTTTGGAACAGATTGTGTCTGAGCACAAGTATCCGTGCATACTTTCACGCCAAGTGAAAGCTATTGTTTGTGTATTCACCTCTACTTCGGGTAAATCATTGTTAATTTGTCTTAAATACATGGGAAATAAGCTAGACATATTCAAGGTTTTACAATCTAAAATAGACAATTAGATACTAAACACACATGAGTGGTCTTTGACTGTTTATTTACTGGGACAATGAAGGGCCACCAGCAGACTTTCTGTACGTGTTAAACACTTCAATGTATTGGAGTATCGTGTCTGATGGACAGAATAGTTCAGTTGTTTTATTGCTGCACTTGGGAGCTGTAGGAAGCGTGAATGAAGGATCCATAAAGCTTGAGAGAAACTCACTGATCAATCCCCAACATTGTTGAACATCTAAGCAGGGCAGGTACTCCAACTGGAAATTTTATAACACCAAATAAATAATTAAAGAAAATAAATAGTGAATGCAAAAAAAAAAAAAAAAAAAAAAAAAATGAGAACTACAAATTGCTTATTAATAACTGAACCTCAACAACGATTCCTTTGAAACTTGGGCCGGCAGAAACTTGTCCAAACTTAAGAACAAAGTCTCCATACTCATAACGATGTCCTTTAGCCTGGAAAGCATTAAGAAGAACAAAGGTGTAAACTTGGTCACATCCCCCTCTCTCTGAAAGTCAATAACAGTTTTTTCTCTTTGAGATGATGTTTTACATACAATGTAAAATTCCCAGTGACTGTCTAAACTTCTCAAAGGATATTTGCAATGCAGTCTCTCACTTGATGGAGTAGGTTGAGTTGTTCAGCATGGGGGGGGGGGGCACTATACCAGTGCCTAATTGTATAAGCATTGAGGGACATGCCTGGTTGTTCTTATGTAATAATGCACCACAAGTTTACCATGTCCCCTCCCCCCACAAAAAAAGGACAAAGGTGTATGGTGGGTTCATGCACTCCAAGAACCCCCTTCCCATTGCTATGCTCTTAAATCAGGGTCACAAAAGCAATAAGTTTATGTCTTTTTGTGCTAAGTAGCCACAGGAGAGTAGAGTAGAGCTTGAAGTGAATGTGCCATATTACCTGAAAGAGAAGTAACCTACTTGTGGAGGAGTGCATAAGAATTGTCACAACACAGGTGTATTTTTATTCACTCCTGCTTGATTTTTTTCCTTTAAATCATTGACCACTTTCAAAAATGGCTGCCGGATTAATATTCTTTTGTTTAAATTTAAATTAGCCTTTCTGGTCTCGCTTGAGTTAATGTACTCTTTTGAATTTTGTACTGGAGAACGAGGCCAGAAAGGCTAATTTAAATTTAAACAAAAGAATATTAATCCAGCAGTCATTTATGAAAGTGCTCTATTACATAAGATAAGTAACAGTATTTTCATGTACACTGTGATACACTTCAACTTTATTTTTGAAAAAAAGTTGTATCAAAAGCAATACATCTAGCCCAATATGTTTCAACAAAAGAGAAAGAAAAAGCTACAAAACTGGCTAACCTGAGCCTTTACTGATTTTTACAAAACCAAAATAATCACCTCAATTTTGGAAGTTTTTCTAGGTGTGTAGAATGTTTTGAGTTTTGTCATCAAGGAATCAAAGCCAGAATCTGCCACAAGACATGTGCCTGTCTCCAGTACAGCAAATGATGAGTAAGGAAATTCTGTACTGTGCACCAGATGAATGAGTTTGCTAGCTGTACCTTTAAGAAGAGAACAAGACCAGATAATGTTGTATAACATAAAAAGGAGATTGGGATTGGACTTCAAGGCTGACAGAACAACACTGCTCTTCCTTTTCCTTACAGAGCACAGGTTTCTCCTAAACAGGGTATCATTTTGAAAGAGAAGTAGACTTAAAGCTACTCAAAGGATTTATTATGAAACTAATGCAAAGATGAAGAAGTGGTCAGAGCAGCCCCACCCC